TTGCTGCAATCCCATCGGTCCCCCTTCCCCTTCCAGAGAGGAATGACCACACCCCTCAACAGGTCAGAGGGAACGGTACCGGACTGCCAGATGGCAGCCAGGACAGCATGCAATCCCCGCGCCATAGGTTCACCACCAGCCTTTAACAATTCAGCTGGGATGCCGCAAATACCCGCTGCTTTACCACTCTTCAGCTTGGAGATTGCCTCCCTAACCTCAGCTAGGGAGGGTGGGTCCTCGCTAATGGGTAGGTCCGGCAGCGGAATCACGGCACTACCCACATCCAAGTTAATTGTTGGAGGGTCAACCTGATACAACTGCTCAAAGTACTCAGCCCAACGCTCCCTCACCGCAACAAGATCTGAGACGATCTGGCCACCTACTAAGCAAACTGCAGACACCTGTGAAGAGGGCTTGGAGTTCAATTTTCTCAGGGCTTGGTATGCAGGACGAAGGTCATTTACTAAGAAATGGCCTTCGACCTCCTCAGCAAGATTCTTAATAAACTGTTCCTTGTCCCTTCTTAACAGAGACCGAGTTCTGCGTACCTGAGAACGGTGCAAATCCCGATCCCCTGCCAGACGAGCCACACGGCAAGCATCAGTGGCTTCCAGTGTCTCCTGAGAGATTGAATTCTGTCTTGCTCTCGGGCGTTCTCCAATCGATTCTTGCACGTGTGTGTATTCATATATCAAGTATATAATATATATCCATATATATATATATATATATATTATGTGTTGTGTGTTGTGTGTGTGTGTGTGTGTGTGTGTGTGTGTGTGTGTGTGTGTGTGTGTATATATATATATATATATATATATATATGACGTCACGCACGCTTGGGGGCACTGATGTTGATTATTTAGCAGACGACGGGCGCTGGGAATACAAAACGCCGAATTTTTGGTTAAATTACAATTATCTTTCAAAAAATTTGACCTGATATTGATTTTATATGTATAGTTGTTAAGAACATGTGGGTATAGAGTGGACTTTCCCTTTAACCATTCTGAAGGTAGACATATCTCATTAGTTCAGAAAAGTACAAAATTTTTCTATTTATGTTTATTACTGCCATAACTAGTTTTGCAAACTAACCTAAAATATTCAAATTCAACACTGCCAACCAAAATATCAATAAAATGTATTCTTATCAAATTATTGTTGCCACCACTTGTGATGTTGAACTTTGGGTACCCAGCCAAAACCTTCCATCTATAATTATTAAAAGTTTGACAAGGATAACTTAGCTTTGCAGTTAAGAAAGGCCATGAGGTGGCTTACTTTTTCCTCTTTAATCATTAGCGGGAAATTTTATATTGATCGACAAAACCTTGAATGAATTAAATCTATTCTTGATATGGTAGCACTATCTGTCTTCACATACACACACACACACACACATGTCCATGTGTATATATTTGTGTGTGTGTGTGTGTTACATGTGTGTTTGTGTATGTGGGTGAGAGTGTGTATGTGTGCGTCCATGTATGTGTGTGAATAATCAGCAAAGGAATGACAATAATCACAGTCAGTTTAAAAAGTTTATTGCCTAACATTCCGTATAAAAAGGGCAACAGATAACGCCAAGACGCGACGAGGTAACAACAAAATGGACATGGATAGAATTCAGTTTGTAACACTCGATCCTAAAGCTAAAGAGAAACAGGTGCAGGCGATCAGCTGGTGCTTCGTAGGACATCACTTTCCGTACATGCTTGCTCCTCCGCCGCCGCCAGATGAGCCTCCGTACATTCCTCCACCTCCTCCACCTCCAGAGGAACCACCGTATCCACCTCCTACTCCACCTCCAGAGGAACCGCGAGGAACCGCCGTATCCACTTCTCCTCCTCCACCTCAGGAACCGCCGTATCCTCCTCCTCCACTTCCACTCCTCCACCTCCAGAGGAACCGCCGTATCCACTTCCTCCTCCTCCTCCACCTCCAGGAACCACCGTATCCTCCTCCTCCACTTCCCTCCAGAGGAATCCACCTCCAGAGGAACCGCCGTATCCACTTCCTCCTCCTCCACCTCCAGAGGAACCACCATATCCTCCTCCTCCACTTCCACCTCCTCCACCTCCAAAGGAACTGCCGTATCCACTCCCTCCTCCTCCAACTCCAGAGGAACCACCGTATCCTCCTCCTCCACTTCCACCTCCTCCACCTCCAGAGGAACCGCCGTATCCACTTCCTCCTCCTCCACCTCCGGAGGAACCGCCGTATCCACTTCGGAGGAACCGCCGTATCCACTTCCTCCTCCTCCACCTCCGGAGGAACCGCCGTATCCACTTCCTCCTCCTCCACCTCCAGAGGAACCGCCGTATCCACCTCCTCCTCCACCTCCGGAGGAACCGCCGTATCCACACCTCCTCCTCCACCTCCGGAGGAACCACCGTATCCTCCTCTCCACTTCCACCTCCTCCTCCAGAGGAACCGCCGTATCCACTTCCTCCTCCTCCACCTCCAGAGGAACCGCCGTATCCACTTCCTCCTCCTC